CATGTCAGCAGAGGTTACACTCAAGGAAACAAGTTCCCTTTCAGTGCTGCACTTTCCCTGTAACATCAAAGCTTTAAAAAAATAAGGATAACAAATATGCCAGAGGCAGAAAATGTACCTGTAAGCAAGTCTTCTACTCCTCATAGACACATTTAATATTTCAGGTAAATGCTACAACAATTGATGGAATGACCCCCCTGTTCAATGCATGTTCAAGAGGGAGTGCATCTTGTGTGGAGCTTCTCTTGGAATATGGTGCCAAAGCTCAGTGGGAGACATGCCTTCCCTCTCCAACTCATGAAGCAGCCAGCAGAGGTGAAAAATTAGAATAACTGGAATGGATCAAGAAATGCATCTGGCATTGCAAATGTAATTTCTTGTTTCAGAGAGTAATGACATTCTCTTTGGCTAGGTCACAGTGACTGCCTAGAGCTGCTAATCTCTCGGGGTATAGATGTTGACCAAGACATTCCTCACCTGGGAACACCTTTATATGTAGCTTGTATTTCACAGCAGAAACAATGTGTTCACAAGCTTCTGCATGCAGGTACATAGTTACTGAATCTTTTAAAAGACTTAATACCTTATTTTATTATTATTTTAAATGGAGCTCAAACAAAACTGTCATTCATTGATGCATAATCACTTAAGCAAGCTTTGCTGCAAAAGTTTAGCTTTGTTGTAAATCAATTAAGCCAACTATTACATTGAATCTGATTTCTTTGATGTTATTGATCATCCTAGATTCCATTTTCATTTAGGCTCAAACTACAAAATAAAGTTTTTTAACAAATTGGGTCAGGGTTCCACCAGCCCAATTCAGTTTCCTTGCAGCCACATGACAGATATAGGAACTTACCTCCCCAAGTGCTGCAGGGCCCAGTTTGGATTGGGACTGCAGCATTGGGGGAGAAAGGGCTCCAGCCTTCCTGCTGTGCCATTTTCTCAAGAAAAAACAGCCCACACATGTGCAGCCCCACGAGTGTCAGATAATGCTTCCCCTGATTCAGCCCATTAAACACTCTTGCGTAGTTTTTTCCTAAATGCAGTTTACATCTGATCCCCTCCATTTACTTATCATATCTTTCTTGTACTTACCTACTTAATTGAAAAAATTATTAATTTGAAGCCAGTTAATTTGGAAACAGTAGAAAAAAACTATTTTAACAGAAAACTTGAAAGATATAGAATATAGTTCATTTGCCTTATTTGAACTACACTGTATATTTCAAATAATTTTTTCAGCTTTGCACCTACTTTTCAATGGAATCCAATCAGTACTCAGAATAAAACTGACCATCTATATTGTGTGCATGGTAGCATCCCTATTTGCTGAAACCTACTCTGTGGAGTCCCGTTTTCCTTCATTATCCTTCTAGTTTACTTTGGGTTGTTCTTCAACATTGTTCACAACAATGAAGAAATTAATTTAGATAAGGTTGCAAGTAGTGCTATTTCTTCTTGAATCTTCATTTTAACAAAGGAGCAATTTAAGAAACATCTCCTTTAAATTATATCTTCCTCCTAAAATGTCTTTACTTTTAGACTCAATTGACCTAGCTATGCAATGCTGTTACTGTAACCTCAGTGCTAGACTACTGTAATATGCTGTCTGTGGAAATGCTCTTAACTCAGAAAATCCATTAGCGTAAAATTCAGCAGCTCATCTCCTACAGGTGGCAATCTGATGTGAACCTATTCTAGAACATCATTCATTGCCTATTTTTTTCAAGCCTCAGTTTAAAGTGTTGCTTCTTTATCTTCAAGATTCTTCAAGAATTAGTAAAAAGCCCAGTTGCACGTTTAAGACATACAACCTTTATTGTAGCATAAGCTTTTGAGAAACACAGCTCTCTTCACCAGATGCAAGAATTAGGGCTCACATACCTGAAGGACGGGCTCTCCCTTTATCAATCTATGTGCCAGTTATGCTCATCTCAACACCACTTACCTTCTGTGTCCTCTCTTAGGGATACTTGATCATATTTCATCTAGGCATAGGCTCCTAAATACTGCCTTGACCCTATGGAGTGGTCTGTCAGAGTTGGCTAGAAGAGCCCCTTCTCCGTTGGTCCTCAGACAGTCTTCTAAGTAGACTGGTTTAGGAGGCTTTTATATATTTTTTATATATATTTAGTAATCCTTTTTAATTGCCCATGGCCAGACTGTTGAGTTTGTATACCTGTATACTGCCATTTTAATTATTTTTGCTATATGTATTGATAGCACATTTGTTTATAAACTGCCATGTGGGAAAGGCAGGTAAAAATATTTTAAATAAGCCCAGTGTTTACGGACTGGATTTTAGGCACCAGGATTTGACTACAACTGTTTCAATTAAATCTCTATTCTTTCTCTGTTTCACATCTATAGGTGCAAATGTGCAAAAAGGAAAATTTCTGGAAACTCCACTACATGCGGCTGCCAGGCAATCTAGTACAGAAATAGTAAACATTCTACTTGAGTTTGGAGCAGATATCAGTGCCAAAAATTCAGAGTTTGAACGACCTGTAGATGTAGCTTCTCCACGCAGCTTGGTGGAAAGAGTATTGCTTCTACATGAAGGTAAAGTGTCTGCTATGTAAAGGCAATTTTATATATGAGGCAACTGTAGTTTTTGAGAGTAAGATTCTTAGGGAAAGCTGCCTTCAGTTTCTGGGGGCATTGGTACTGGAACCATTCTATGGCAGATTCATTCAACTTTTTCAACTATTCCTGAGCAGTTTGGGTCCAGGATTTATGAAATATCATTTTCTCCTACCTACACAAAAATTAAAATCTTCTACTGAGACTGTTACATATGCCTCCACCATTTGAAGTGGCTGTGTGTGACAGGTCCTGTACAACAGTGGCACAATACTGGGGGAGTTTCATTTAGATCCCTCTGTCATGGTCTTTAGGTAGCAAATGAAGATGTTTTTGTTCCAGAAGACATTTGGTTATAAATATTATTCTTACAGTTTTGTTCATACTCAGATAACAGCTTAGGATCATACTGTCTTTCCATGGCTGGCTTGTTTGGACTGTTTTAACTATTTTACTTCTATTTTGATTGTGGTTCAGTTTATGATTTTTACTTCTAAAAATTTTGACTGGTTTATTTGTTTAACAGTTTATTTTATTGATTTTTAAAGTAAGTTAAAAATGCTGTAAACTACCTTGAAGCTTTGGTGAAAGGTGGGATAGAAATGGTCAAATAAATGGAAATATAGATCACAAAGTAAAACTAACCATGTTGGTAAAAATACAGGTCACATTAATCATAATAAGTGAAATATTAGGTTTTTTGACTGTGTGGTGGTTTCACTTTCTGCTAGGTATCAGATAAAAAGTTATAATTTTGTAACAAACATGTTGCAAGTCCTTAATGATGCTGAATTGCTACTTCATTCTTTTTACTTTGTTGCAGCTACCCCATGTTCCCTTTGCCAGCTGTGCAGACTACGTATCCGAAACTATATCGGGAGAGCCAGATTAAACCTTGTGCCACAACTCCAGTTGCCAACCATATTGAAAGACTTCTTGCAGTATAGATAAAGTAGCAAGTTGTTTTGAGAGACTTGATAAACAAGTGTTGTATTGTATGTTGCACATAAAAATCTGTTGGGATGAGGAAGATATCATAAATAGACTTTTACATACATACTAACATGTGTCTTTCATAGCAACATGAAATGATCATGATGCAGCAAATATTTCAAAGTTTTCTTGAGCAGCCCAGTGACAAGATGCTTATATAAATTAATAAAACATAATTTGTTCATTCTCTGAAAATATTAGCAAAGGCAAAATAATAAGGTTCATTGCTAAATTCTGGGACACAGGTCAGACAGCTGTCTTGGTATCTTGTGGCCAAATAAGATGCAACACTCAGGATCCATCTCTCCCTTATGCCATTTCAGTTGCTGAAAATGGTTCTCCCAGGCTGCTTTTAGTCACAATTAAGAAAAACACAAACACCTTCCCAATCAGCAGAATGGCCTGGGAGAAAGAGTTCAGCATCCCCCTGCCTCTGATCCACACTGGGCCCCCACCATAACTCCTTTGGATGGCTCAGTTTCACTTCTGGGAAGCCCAGATATGGATATACAACATCATGTCTGTTTTAACCCTTAGAACAGGGCTTGACACATCCCCGGGGGGTAAAGGTGCCATGTAGCACCTAGTATTTTCAGCAGTCCTTTATTGTCTCTGGGCCACTCAGCAGAAGTAGAAAGCTTACTTAGGTGTAAGGAAAAAGTTAGTTTTTTGTTGTGATGATAACCAGGGTTATATTTATTTATATATTACAACACTTTTGTTATAGCTTTTAAAGATGAAAAGGAACTGTAAAGAGTTTAGGATTAGGTTTTGTGGTAGCAATAATTAGAACAAGTGGATGGCCTGCGAGACTTGGGGGGGGATCCCATATCCCCCTCATCACTGAGACATTGAGGTTCCAGGCCCCACAACCAATCACTGAGCCTGGAAGCCGGCGTCTGCCACTGCCATGCCCAGGCCTGCGGCGGCACCTACTGCCACGGCAGCACCCAGCAGTGGCCAATGTCTGCTGCCGCCACGCCCAGGCCTGGAGCAGCTGCTGGCATCTGCTACTGCAGTGCTCAAACCCAGAGCAGCTGCTGGTGTCCTCCTCTGCTGCGGCATCCAACACCACTGCTGAACTGTAGCAGCTCTGTAAGTGCATTGTCTGCACATGCACACAGAGAGTGATTAAAATGTGGGATTCGTTGCCAAAGGATGTAGTGATGGCCACAGGAATAAACAGCTTTAAAAGGGGATTAAATAGATTCATAGAGAATAAGTCTATCAGTGGCTACTAGCTATGGTGACTGCACTAATCCTCTGAATCCCTGAGCCGGGAGGCAACATCAGGGGAAGGCCATGGCCTGTATGCCCTGTTGTTGGCTGTCCAGAGGAATTAGCTGGCCACTGTATGAGACAGAATGCTGGACTAGATGGACCATTGGTCTGATCCAGCAGGGCTCTTCTTACGTTCTTATTTTTGGGGATTTAAACCTCTATATATTTTATTTTTGAGGGTTTTTCTTGTTAACCCTGGGAGTCCCTCAAGTTTGTAGGAAAGTCTGTTTAGTGTCAGTGTGGCCCTGACCCACGGATTTAGGTATCTGATGATGGGGGCCTAGTGTCGCTATCAGTATATAGGTATATGGTCATTAAAACATAAACCCCTGAAGGCTAAAAAGGAAGTCTGGATCCTAAATGTTGGGGTGGCCTGTCAAGATGAAAAAAAATGTAAAGGTCTGCCTTAGAAAGTCAGAGAATATATTGGGCTGGGGTGACTGTTCCAAAACTACAAGGACACATTGCTAGGTTAAAAAAAAATTGAGATGGCCACTACAAAAGAGTAATTTTAATAAATATAACTTATTTTTGTGTATAAAGGTAAAGGTAAAGGTTCCCTTGCTCGAAAGCCAGTCGAATCCGACTCTAGGGTTGCGGTGCTCATCTCCGTTTCAAAGCCGAAGAGCCAGCGCTGTCCAAAGATGTTTCCGTGGTCATGTGGCCGGCATGACTAAACACCAAGGAGCACGGAACGCTGTTACCTTCCCACCGAAGTGGTACCTATTTATCTACTTGCAATTTCTTGCTTTCGAACTGGGTAATTTGGGTCAATGAATCAATTTTCGTCAATAAAAAATATCCATGAAGATTTTCTCTAATATTGTTAGAACATTCAAGGGTTATTTTATGTACAAGCAGGGGACCCCCATGGACTTGCAGGGGGCATCTCATTTCCCCCCTCCCTGTTTCTTCTTTCCTTTCTCTGAAAACCCCCATATATTCTCTCATTTTTCTGCTTCCTTCTCTCCTTCCCAGCCATCAGGCAACCTACCTTCATCTGCCATCTTATCTTCAGCTTTCCCTCCTTTTCTCTCCCAGGCAGCCTCTGCCTTTAAAATCTATGGCCCAGACGAGTGGTGTTGGCCACTGTGTTTGGCCCAGTTGCACAGTGTGAAGCCTAGAAGGGCTTTTGGGGGACACCTGACTTCTGCTGTATTCCACTCTCCACACTCTTCCTCTGCTGCTGACAACCCCAATATTCTCACCTTTTCCTGCTTACTTGCCAACATGATGTAGTGTGTAAGATTGGTGAACTCTAATCCAGAGAACTGGGCTTGATTCCCACTCCTCCATATGAAGCCTGCAGGATGACCTTGGGCCAGTCACAGTTCTCTCAGAACTCTCTCGGCTGCACCTACCTCACAAGGTGCCTATTTTAGAGAGAGGAAGGAAATGTGATTGTAAGCTGCTTTGAGAGAAAAGCAGGATATAAAAACCTACTGTTCCTTCTTTCTTCACACCTTCCCACCCACCCAAGTAACCAGCCTTTTATCTCCCCCCATCTTCAACCATATTTATTAGTTATTTACTTCATTTATACCCTGCCTTCCTCTACAATGGGGACCCAAAGCAACTCACATAATCTCTTGTCCATTTTATCATCACAGCAATGCTGTGAGATAAGTTAGGATTAGAGAATGTGACTGGCCAAAGGTCATCTTTTGAGTTTTCACAGCAGAGTGGGGATTTGAACTTGGGTCTCCCATACCCTAGTCTGTAATTCTAACCACTACACCACACTGTATTTTGTGGGATGGCTGCTGTTGAACAGTAGCAATCAGCCAGTACTGGGTATGTCATCCACGTTGCATGGTAGAAAGTCACCTGGTGGTTGCTGCTGGCCCTGGCCCAGTGGGTCCTACCTCAAAGGCCAAAACAACCCTGGAAAGGGTTCTGTCCTTTACTGACAGAAACCAAAGCTTAAAGGCTGGCAATCCTGTTGTGGTTGCCTAGCAATGGCCACTTATGGCATTTGCTTTTTTAAAGCTACAAGTGCTGCTTCTCTTATTTTGAGGGGTTTTAACTCCCCCAGTGTGGGGTTGTTGTTGCTTTTTTATAATATTTCAGATTTTTCTGCAAACCTGGGATGTTTTTCAGGTTTGTAGAAAGATCTGTCATTTGTTATGGCTCTAATCACTGGATTTAAGTACCCATGTTTCGGCTATATGGAGAATTATATATTTTGACTTCTTTATTGGAAATATTTGCAATTTCATATTTGTATTGCTCAAAATGGAAGCACACTGAAAAATGTAGTAATCATGCAGATTTTCAGAGCTCATACTACCCTATGAATTTGCATACTCATTAGATGATACAGTTGACCAATGAATCACCAAGATCAAAATGCTAAGCGAATTCATGCCCAGGTGACTCAACTTGCATAGGTTCAGCAAATGTTTTTCAACATCTATTACATTATATTAAACTGAAATAACCAAACACATCACAGGGTTTTCTGAAGGACTGCTCCAGCATTCTTTTATCCTCTGGCAATGAAGGAACAAAAATCAGTTTCAATAAAGGAAATTACTCAGGGAGAAAGGTTAGAAAAGTTCTCAACAACTTTGGACATTGCTCAGGAACCAGAGCACCACAATGTATGAGAAATAAGCAAAACAAATTTACATGGAAGCAGCAATTTACTCCTCAGGCATTAGTGATTAACAGTTACTCAGTCCTGTTCCTGATGTCTGCATAACACTCTGCCTGATGAATAATTCCTGATTATGACCCTACATATACATCTTCTTAATGTGACAGATTTGTGCAAAAAGTTCTTCATGCACATAGTGTTGTTCTTCAGGAGAAAGGTGATCTTTATGCATTCATCTAACTTCCCACTGTCAACAGCTTGTAACTAAGATAACCACCTAGTGATTATGTAGATTCAGATGGAGATACAGGCTCTGAAAAGCTGGATGATAACATGAACATTTTTCAATGTTAGTGATGCAACACAAAATATCTTTAAAAATCATGATAATACATTCAATTGCCTGTAAATGTTCAATGTAAACAATTTACAAAGTAATCCTAGAGAGTTCTATTCATAATTCCACTCAGGAATCTTCAGTGGGGATTATTCCCAGGAACACATTCCTATGATTGTACTATAATAGTCTCGGTCTGTGAAACATCTTCATGGATACTTTACATACAGCACTGATTGCCTGAAACAAAATATCCTTTGGACACACAAAACACTTTTCTGGGAGTTTGGTAAGAGAAAATGTATTAAAATAACCATTTGGTGGTGGCCATGTTGGATCTCTCACATACATACCAAATAGGATTGGATGGATCCTATGACTCTGCTAAGTGAGAAAACTTCTCCTATGGAGTAAGGCTTTCTGCTTAGCAGAAAGGAGTCATAGGATTCTACCAATGTTTTCTCCAGCCTTCCACGGTATTAAAATAGCTGTCAGCCCTTATCCCTTGTAACTTGGCCATTAAACTCTTTTATTTTGCCTTACTGGTATTTTATGTTTTAATTTGCAATTACTGATTAAGCACTGTGCTGTTAAATGATCTTGTATTTGTGCTTTGTTTAGGGCTTTTTCAGAGGATTGTGTGTGTGTATGTACAGGAAATATGCAGTTGTAACTTGTAATGAGTTGCTTGGGGGGATTCCAAAATCTTTCACTCCGTTACTGTATCAGTTATAGAGGAATGGCATTTTCCCAGCCAATGACTACTATTCACTGTTGCTGAAAACTGTTAGTTTCTCACTCACAAACGTTCCATTCATTCCCATCTACTCTCTGCCACTTTAGCCTAGTAGGAAAGTGCACTGTTGGGAATAAATCTATCTCTTCCACCTTTATGCCTTTACATGATGTTACCTTACTCTGATCTGCTCTCTTCCCCCTTCATGGAAGGAGGCTGTAGCTTAAAAAATGAAGTAGCTTCAGGTGTCAGCAGCAACAGCTTTTAAGTGGTCACAAACTACATAAAGTGGAGAGATACTAGTGTGGGAGATGCCATGCTTATATCCCCCAAAATATCACAGTGTTGCACAAGTGGTGCTATATTACTTTAAAAAAATACATTTGGAAGCATATCTGCACAACCCCTTTAGTTTCTTGGAGTATTGTTTGGTTTTGTTATATTTTAGTTCAAAATGTCTGATGTATGCACCTAGGAAAATGGAAGGCTAGGTAAACTCTATGCATATACAAAATTAAAAATAATAGAATAAACAAGTGTCATTTTCCTTCCTGCCTGTCCCATTTAAACACTTTGCTGTGAACTAATTTTTTTTCCATTTGCTACACCTGGTGTGGCATGAAAGAGATCTCAATGGTACACATTTTCCCACTCCAGATGTAGTTGCTATCGTACTGCCTAGTATCCAGAAAGCATTTTATGCAGATCCTTACAAGCAAAAAAGGGTAACTATAGGCAAATAGCTAATTGGTTACCTCCTTGAAATTTATGTATGTGCAGTCTACAATAGAAATCAACCTCAAAATCATCTCTCATAACCAAGATAGCCCAAGGCAGTCTGGCGTAGTCCTGATCAAACACCCCTCTGACTGTGTAAACCATGCCAGATAGCATACTTTAATTATACCAGCCTACTGCTGAGAAAAGAATTTTAATTTTTAAAAATACACCATCATACTCTCTCATCTCAGTGTAACAATGTAGCTGTGAGTTATGCAACAAATTCTGTTCAGTAAATCATGCTAGACTAGCAAATCCTTACTCGCACATCGACTAAGCCAACCTTACCAAAATAATAGTACAAGAAAACAATCACATAAGTTTCCTGGGGAGAACACAAGTATAAATTCCTGGTACCAAAAATCAGCCCTTGGATCAGGCACACTGTCAATTTGCAGGGTAGAGCTAAGCA